AATGGAATTACTTCTCTTTTCACTAAGTCTTCAACAGCAAATAAAAATGCAGAATTAAGGAAAATTCAATTTGCTACTAGACTGGAAGGATTACGTCACAAAATTACACTTTAAATGTATACTCTATGGACAAATAAAGAACTTGCAATATCTGAGGCTATAGTCAGAGTCAAACTACACAGTTAATAGCGGAAGAAATCCTCTGTTCAACACAGCAGACCAAATTTTCATTGCAGAAGCCCCTGCAGAAATACGCCCCTTTGCATTCAGGGGATTCCTTTGATTCAGAACAACAGCTCTACAAGATTGCAAGGAACACTGAGAATCCCAAAGGAAATTCTACCATAACCATCAGTGAGGAGAGGATGATTGCAGGCTTTAGAGCCATTATTGAACTGAGTATGCACCTGAACTGCAGGCAAGTTCTGGCTGTGGCTCAGAGTTGTTACCAGTGTAAACTATAAAAATAGTTACACCTCTGATATTTAGAAATCAGAAAGATTTGCTCAGAAAATCATTATGTCCCTAGTCCTACTGGGAAACTTGAGCAGCTCAGGAAAACTTCAGTGCCAGCATTGTTACACAAGTCTCTCTAGACATAAGTCTGTTCCTTAGAATACCAGTGCTTGCATGAGAGCCTTGGACACCTTTACTTCTTCCTCCCTCTACCATTACTGGAATGGCCTTGAATTAAATTGTTAAAGGTACATAAGTATCTACAAGACTCGAAGGGCTGTAAACCCTACATAGGGAGAAATTATTTAAGGATGTACAAAGGGTATAATTAGAAGCTGTTGAATGAAGTTAAGCAAAAGAACAACAAGCCCGAGTATAAAAGCTTGCCTCTCAGTCAGTGGCGCCTTCTAGCTCACAGAACAGTTTTGTAGAAAGCACAAAGGCTCTAAAGCCTCTAAAGAGACTGAGCGCAACACAGAGCACTGCAACACCTAACTGCTGTGCCACCCAGTGGAGTCCTCAATGCACCTAGACAATACAGAGGAATCGTTACCTAAAAAATAGGATACTGGGTTTTACAAGTCTGAACCTGCTTCTGGAGCCTATCGCATATGTCAGCCCCCTTTCCCAAAGTGTGGCCAGAAAAAGACAAACCAATAATGCTGCCTAGTCCCTTAACTAGTAATCTACTGGTAGGAGTACTCAGGATACAGATCTGGATTCAATTCCCTCACCCCTGGGCTGTGTGGCTGGGCCTGCTGCGCACACACAGAGCTCTGCTGAGCATCTATGTATGCAGAAAGGTGGATGCTCCTAGACACAGAAGATTCACGTACAGCAGGTCTGGCAGTTCTGGAAGGGTAAGGTCTGCCTTGGGATGCCTGAACTGAACGCACGTTAACTGAAGGAGCTGGGCCAGTGTCTGAAGCAGCACCCGCTACAGCGATTCACACAACCTGCTCCTAGCCCCTTCCCTTCCGTGGATGCTTCTCAAGAGATGGCAGGGAAGAGGCCGATGGCCAGATACATTGTTCCAGCAGGGGCAGCCTGTCCCTTTTTGCTGGTCTTCCCAGAAACCTTTAACTTCCTGCCATGTGACAATGCTGCAAGAACTACAGAATCTCCATGAAAGTTCAGAGCTAT